CAGGACCACCAGCGCCCCCGCCCCCACCGCCACCCACCCCGCGCTCCCCTCCCCCCATCTTTTTCTCCCGCCCTACACAAACAAAGTTCAGTTCCTAGTAATTCCCGACACTGGGCGAGCAAACGACATATCATCGCCGACGGCCTTCTCACCGCAAACATTCCCCGATGGCCATATATCATTAAGCCCGTGGATCGGCGATAGATCATCTTGAGAAAATAGAGCTTGATGACTGGATTTATGGAGAAGATCTGGTTCGAGTCCATCCGAGGGTTTGCCGTAGCATAGGCAATCCTGCCTTTTTAACGTTTTCGTCCGCGAACCGTAAGTAGGTAAGTAGATCTATCCCTCCACCGAAATGCAAAGACACAGGCATATGGTACGAACTTGGAGCCCAGTTCCTCCACCCAATCGCTCACACCAACCCAATATATAAAAAACACAGTCAATTCGATCCAATCTTACCAGGCTCGCCTACACAGAGAACAAGACCCTTAGCGGTGGTCCGTACCTGCACCAATTGGCGAAGATCGCAGCTGATTTATGAAGTCCCAGCAGGCCGCCCGTTCCATCCGGGCTCGGGTCCTGGGCCAACGCGTTGTCAATTTTGTCTCCCGCTTGTACAAAACCAAAGTTCAGTTCCTACTGAGCGTAGGAACGAGTCTAGGAAACGGAATGGTACGTGTGTAGGCCAGGTTCTTACGTGCCAAGTGTTACCTCAACGGCAGAGTGTCTACAGGTAATTGTTTGGTTATATGGTTATTGCGAAGTTGTGGGCTCGAATTATAATCCCACCGGGGTTCTACACGGTTTCGGACTTCTTTTTGTCCGTCCCCAATCCCCGATCGCCACTATGTACTCTACCAAATCCCAACTTGACTATCAGATCCATTTATACACCCAACCAGTAAGTAAATCTATCTTCCCACCGAAATACAGAGACACCGGCATATGCTACAAACGTAGAGCCCATCATCATCCATCCATCGATCCATAAATCATTTAAACCCCGCCCTATAACACCCCCGCCAGGACCACCAGCGCCCCCGCCCCCACCGCCACCCACCCCGCGCGCCCCTCCCCTCCCACCCCCCCCGCCCTCCTCGCGCCGGACGGCGCCGTCGTCCCCCCACTCTGATCCGCGCTCCCCGTCTCGCTCGCCCCCGCCCCCGCCCCGCTCGCGCTCCCCGTCGTCTGCGCGCCCCCGCTCGCATTGTACTGCGCCTCCGCCGCCAGGCCCGCGTCGAGCGCGTACGCCCGAATGGACGGGATCTCAAAGTACGCGGCGCCGTAGTTCGAGCCGTTGCCCGCGATGTTGCTGAGGAAGCACGTCCCGGGGCACGTCGCATCGTAGATTTCGGGCAGGCCCGCCCAGAGGCCGCAGAGCGTGATGTCTGCGACGGCGTGAGTTCGTGTACGGAACTCAAACAAAACGGCGCGAAAGAAATGTGCCGCACAGCGGAGCAAGCACGACGGAGGACAGGAAGACAAAGCACACGCACCGACAACCAACTGCTGCGCGGGGAAGAACTCGGTGATGTTACACCCGCTCGCGGGGTACGCCGCGCTCGGCGTCCCCCAGTCGCTAATATTCATCGTCGCCCCGCCCGCCGCAGACCCGGGCTCGAACGCCGACGCGGTGGTGGTGATCGACGCGGGGATCGAGGCGCGCTGCAGATCAAAACGAATGCGTTAGCTCCGCCCAACTCGACCGTACAAAACCAGAGGGCAACAGAGAGACGGACGCACCCCCCAAAACCAGATCCATATCCCCGCGACGTCAAACTGCAGCGCGAACACGCCGCCCCCGGCCGCCGCGAACCCCGCGCCGAACGAGTTGTTCTTCGTCTCCGCGACCGTGCACCCGCTCGCGGTCGTGTCGTTGCAGTTCGTTATCAGCGACTTTTCGGTCGTTCGTTTCGTTATTTTGGTATTTCGTTATTTCGGTTCATCGGAGGCGGGGGAGGCAATCCGAGGCGGCGGAAGAACGCGAATCCGAATCGAGGTGGAAAGAGAACAGCACAACACAAAATCAGCTCCCGCCCTTCCGCGCAATGAGCCAAGTAAGAGGGAAACGCACATGCCCGCTCTGCACCACGCCCGGCGCCTGCACGCACCCCGCATACGAGTGCAGCGCCATCTGGTTGTTGTCCATCTGTGCCCCCGTCCGTCTCTCGTCAGCATCGTTTCGTTTATCGTTAACTCAAATAGAGGGGGGAAGCGGAAATTGGAGGTGGACGCAGCGCCCGCCGAATTGGTGTGCGTGCGCGAAGAGGGCACATGAGAGAGCATCACGTGCCCCAACGCGTCGCGTCATTGCACCAAGCACGCGCATACACAACTCATCGTCTCGCCATCCCCACCTCTCGCAGAATGAATGAAGGAAAGGGGACGCACGAGATTTATGGCCTCGACGATGTCGATCTCGCCCGCGGCGGGCCACACCTCGCCCGGCGCGAGGACGCCGTTCATCCAGATCGAGGGCCAGACCTGCGCGGCGTCCGTTAGTCGCTATAAGTGTAACAAAAAGAAAAGGGAAGGAGAAGCGGAGAAGCGAAGGAATAGAAGGAGAAGAAGAGAAAACGCACCGAACACCCGTAAGGCATATGCAGCGCATCAATGACCAGCAATGTCCCCACGCTGAAGGTCGCTTGGGAGGTCAGGCGGACCTGGGGAGGGGGTGTGAATTGAATAGGAGGAGGAGGGAGGGCGAATTAAATCAGACGAGGTATGGGAGACGCATGCCTAAGCCCCGGAAGGGAGACGTGCTCGAGCGCCGTACAGACGAATGCCTGGGGCGCCGGAGAGACAGAATGCCCGGGGCGCAGCCAGGGAGACATGTGCGTGCACATGCTCGGGCCGCCAACGCTACCCTTGTAGGAAGACGCAGCCTGCGGCGCCCGAAGGGAAAAATGCCTACGGCGAAACATGCTCTCCGGGCATGCACCCGCTCGCATTACTCGCGGGGCGCCTCGTCCCTTGGAAGACGCGGGACCGCTCCTCCGCCGACCATCCCATGAGCGGAACGTGCGCGTGCGCATAACGGCGCTCTCGTTGGATGAATTGCCGCAGGCGCAGCTGAAGGCTTCGGCGCAGCCCGGGAAAAATGCCTGTAGCGCGGAAGGGAGACATGCTCTCCGGGCATGGGCCCCCTCGCATTACTCGCGGGGCGCCTCGTCTCTCGGAGGACGTGGCACCCCTCCCCCGCGCACCATCCCCTCGTTCGATCGACCACTCACACTCTTCCGATACTGAATCCCATCCGGCAACACGGTGCTCCCATTATCGACCCTAATAACGGCATTGCCCGCCTCGTTCACGTAGGCGAGGGACTCGGCCTCTGCGTCGGCGGCGGTGACGTACGTTACGTTGCCTGCGAACGGGGTGAGCATGGACTTTACATTCGCATAAATATAAAGACGCACCCCAGGTCGTGTTATCAATCGCGCCGTAGAAATCCCACCCGTCGAAGAAGGTCGTGCCGCTGTACTCGATGAGCGGGTAGTAGATCGCCGCCGCGCGCCCGAGCCAGGCGGCGCCGAGGAAAAGCGCGAGTGGCGTGTGCATCGTCAGTGCAGTTTAGCGGAGGGAGTTTAGTTTAGTTTGATTTTGGGTGCAAGGGTCAGCGTTAGGGTTTCCTCGGCTGAGTGTGGCGAATCAGCAACGAGCCGCGGGCGCTACAGGCGGACGCACCGTCGTTAGATCAGATTAGATTTCGTCTCTCGGTCGTCTCTTCGTCGTAAGTCGGGAGGAGGAGCGCAGGTACGCGGGATGGCGGGGAGGAGAAGGTGGTGGTGGGAGCGCAAGACGGCGACGCGAGGCCGGAAGCACCCAAATCCGGATGTGCAGAAAAAGCAAACAACACGTGCCGCACGCTTATTTAGATGAATTCCGGAGGCGGTGCGGGGGGCTGTGCTCGGGCCGCGTCCCGCTTTACACCTTCTTTCAGCACGACGACTGCACGACGCCAACGCCCTGGAGAGCCCTCAATTCAGACAGTGACGGACGTTCAGTGGAGTACTCCCGGTTTGCCCCGGCTCCACCCCCGATCCCGTTCCCGCACAAGAATAACGCCACGCCTCGAGGCTTACGCCCGGCGGAATTTCTTTCCAACACGGGCAACGAGCTGTTTGTGCGCCGATGGGGTCCTCGACCCGGATCTTATTCCGCGCCGGAAGTATCCGACCTGGATCATGACGCGAGGGCGACATCCGCTGCGCGACGACCAAATAAAATCCGATCGCGATGCGTATCATATCATCCCGCACCGGTCGTCCCGTCCCCGCTTCTCCTCCTGAGATAACCCCGCCAGCACCGGCCCTTCTTCTCATTCTATGCCACGTAAGTCAACTTCGAACATCGGAATCCCTGCCCCGACGTCCTTCTCCTTCTCCCTTCCTTCTACTGCTTGCTTACTTCTACTGCCGACCCCCATTCTACGACAGATTCGTGGATTCTCCCCACCAACGGACCATCGCCCAAAACATCCTTGGCGACACGGAACGCAACGCGCATGTCCCTTAGGCTACAATCCGACTCCTCAACTCTCCTCTTGCGCCCTCAGCCCCCACCAGCTCCCTTCCCTCCGCCTATCCCGGGGTCATCTCACCCCCCCCCCCCTCAAGCAGCATCCAACACACGCGTTCCCCAAAATCAAACCGATGCCGACTAGTACAGTGAATGTATTGATGCGTATTGATTATGATTACGCACTCTTAGGGTAATATCTGTCAACTACTCCGATAATCTCTTTATGTCTCCCCCTCCCCAGAACTGCATACCCCATCTCCTCTTATCTTCGTGATACAGAAAATTTGTTTGTCATACCAGAAATTTCGGACGGTTATGCGTGATGTGATTTGATTAGCGACAGAAGTTGGGTTGAGCGCTGAGCGCGAGGAAAGCCTTTCCACAGCGGCTCGGGGCCCCACACACAAATTCTGTTGCCTCCACTGCATCGAGTGAATGAAACTAAAAAAAAAATAGAACAAATCGGTCTAAGGCCCAGGTGGGATTCGAACCCACATCATCCACAGGACATCGGTCCCACTTTTCCTAAATAAAGCAGACGCATAACCACTATGCTAATGGGCCATCCACACATCTGGATGCTTGAAGATGTGATTAGCGACAGAAGTGGGGTTGAGCCTCTCCACGACCGCTCGGGCGCCCACGCACAAATTCTGTGACCTCGATTGAATGAACTCGGTCTATGGGAAACAAAAAAATGTATTGTTGGCATTCTTAGGGCCCAAGCGGGATTCGAACCCACATTGTCTGCAGAATTGCCAAATGTTCTTCTATAAACAGAGCAGATGCATAACCACTATGCTACTGGGCCGTCAGTATCGTCAAATGCTTGAAGGTAGCCCAGGTTTCCGAGAAAGAGGACTTGGAGTTCTGCCGAGATAACCCTGCCCCAAAACTTGTCATCCTCAACATCATACCCGACGGTGACGTCCTCGCAATCCCACGGCCGCTCGGGTGCCCACGCACAAATTCTGTTACCTCCAACTGAACTCGGTCCACGAGAAACAAAAAAAAGGTGTTCTCCAATTTGTGAAGGCCCAGGTGGGATTCGAACCCACATCGTCCGCAGGATATCCCACTCTTCATAATTATAGCAGATACATAACCACTATGCTACCAGACCATCCACACTCAAGAAATGCTTGAAGCTAGCCCAGCTTTCCGAGAAGAGGACTCGGGATTCTGCTGACATAACCCTGCCTCGGCACCGGAACTTCTTGTCATCTTCAACATTAACAAGCTTTACGACCCGTGTCTTCGGCACGGACACTCACTGCGCTCGGTCCATACCTTCATCGGGTCGACAGCTTGTTGGGGCTCTGCCCCAAACCCCAGGGGTGGCTCCGCTGAATCTCAGTAGTGACACTCAAAGTGAAAAAAAAAGATAGATTGTCCAATACATAAACTATTTAAACAGGTACACACCACTGGAAATGGACATAAGTTGCGCCTGATATTGGTTTGAAAATGACACTTATAAATAATCAAAGCAATACTTCTGGGTATACAATATTCTTCGTGACAGTGGTGTTCAGGGTCTCCTGCATCAAGACAGGGCCACATATAATTGTCCATGAGAAAAGACATCTGTGCAAAGATCCAGGCCAATGTGGTGAACAGATTGGCCTTGATTTTTATTTATGGTCATCGAAAATGCAAGGCAAACAGGGAATTGTCGGCGCTTCATAGAAAAAGCAAGCTGTTCAGCAGAGGGAATAATTGTGATACGTGGAATGAATGCTGTTTTCCCATCGTGCTCCCCCCCAATAAGCTGGATCTCTAACACATGGGCTGACATTTTGGGCAGAATCCCTCAAGAGCTATTGCACAGACCATTTGCTGGATTAAGGTTTCGAAGGACCATGATTGGAAACTTTGAGTGCCAACTTTGCAAGAGGCAACCCAGAGGCCTTGATTGAATTAAGGTACTCAACAGGGTATTGGAAACCACTGTCAACTCCCTCCTCTATCACCAAAGAATCAGCACTGTGAAAGACTCTTGCCTCCCCAGGGAATTTGTCAAACAGTATTTGATTGATTTCATCAACATCATCATTGCGTGCTGAGAGAATTGTGCACTCAAAGAAGTATTTGTCTTGCTGACGATCTACAGCTGGAACAGATATACCTGGATAAACTGTGTTGATGAGAGATTCAACAGTATTTTCTGGGAGCTTCATAATATCTGGAAGGACAATATTCTGTGTATGTTTTCCGTGACCAACATCCAGGAACCATTCAGCGAAGTCCCTCTCCTCTTCGGGTGCATTAGGCCTTCCAAGTATCATGTTCTGGGTCAGATGAAGTATTTCAACCTTCCTCCATAGCTGAGACTGTTGAAGACACAGTGCAACAATCTGTTCCCTTCCACCTTTCACAACAGCAGGTAGGATCTGTTGAAAGTCACCACCATAGACCACCGTGGTTCCACCATAAGGCCGTGGATCATTGCTTGTCTTATCCACAGCCTCTTGGTCACGTCGATCCTGCATTGGAACTTCATCCCAAATAATCAGACGGACCTGACTGAGGAGATCTCGAAGCATTGTGCCCTTTTTAACATTGCAAAGAATGCCTTCCCAGAGTTGAATCGGAATTTTGAAGGTGGAGTGTGAGGTTCCCCCACCCAAGAGTAGCAATGCAGCAATCCCTGAGGATGCCACACAGAGTACAATCATGCCCTCAGCTCACAATGCATAACAGAGTGTGTTGTATACATGAGTCTTTCCAGTTCCTCCTGATCCATGCAAGAAGAGCAATTTTGGCTCATTGTTTTCAATTGAATGCATTATTGTATCAAAGGCTGCACACTGTTCTGCATTGAGACCTGCAATTTGAGGTTCAGCTAAGGCATGCTGCTCATCCCGGGCATATGCAAGCTGCTCACTAATCAAACGGTTGGCTTCTGTCTGAGCCCAATTCCTTTGGACAAAAAGCATGGCTTACAGAGGGATTGGAGCCAAGCCAATTTGTATCAAGAAGGAACTGAGCAGAAGGGTTACAAAAAAGAACACACTGAAAGGAATAGATTAGACAGATAAGCATGAAAGTCACAGCAATATTACAGTGTCAAAGTCAATTTTTTCTGGCTGCAAAGCACAAAGTAAGAAAAGGTAAGAAGTGATAAGAAATAGTGGCACTCACAGAATCATCAGGGGAGGATGGGTGGGAGAGGAGAAGAGAGATGGATGGTATCAGATGAGTTTGAAACTGTTTGACGTATTTGCAGCGTGGTTGAAACGCCGTTCTTCGCTTCGTGGCCGATGTTTCGGCCGAAAGGTTGCTCACGTGAAAAAGCATGTGACTTAACATGTGATTTATCACCTGATTTTTGTGGCTGTGACCGAGCTCTCTTTATGTTTAGGATGTTTAGGACATCATACCCGACGGTGACGTCCTCGCAATCCCACGGCCGCTCGGCTGCCCACGCACAAATTCTGTTACCTCAAGTGAACGAACTCGATCCACGAGAGAAAAATTGTGTCTGAAATTTTCACGGCTCAGTTGGGATTCGAACCGAGGTAGTCTGTTGACCAAAGACATCTATCACAACCACAAGATGCAGATGCATACCACTATGCTACCAAGCCATTCTCTGCAAAGAAATAGATGGGTACCTGTGGAACCACACCTTCGCACTTCTGCTCACAAAGAATCCGAGTCGGAGACTCCCAACGATTCTAATATCCCCTCGGCAGCTCAGATACAATGGCATCATCCCCACCCGGCACCCTCCATGCGTACTCATCTGTACAGAGCGGTAGCATTCATAGACAGAGTGTACCTGATGGTGTCTGCTGCAGCGCTTAAACTGGGTGTGGGTTTCCAAATATTTCTCTGGCTACTCGGACCCCGATTTTGCACGCTGAGCCAAGCCTCACGCCCTCGCACCCAATTCAGCTTCATAAAGACTCGCGTGCAGATACCGAACCCAAACCTAAACTCAACCTTTGCCACTCACGATGCAACGATTCCGGTCCATTATAATCTGACAGGATTAACGAACAAAAATTATGTCAAATAATGCCAATGGCCCAGGCGGGACTCGAACCCACATACTCTGCAGATGAAAGGGTTCTATCACACAATGTGCAGATGCATAACCACTATGCTACTAAGCCATTCCATGCAGGAAATGGATAGGTGCCTGTGGAACCACACCCTCCGCCCGGTTCTGCTAGCATTGAGTCCCAAAGAATTGGAGACTCCCAACGAATCCGGTCCCTGCTCAACGACACCATATGAAAGGATCCCCTCTTGCAAATTGGGGTATCTTCATCAAAGCAGACTAACTTTGGTACACCAGGAAGTTGGTCATTGTCAATGATCAAGTAGAGACTCGGTGGCAGAGGACACTCACTCCCTCTCCAAGATAGAAACAGAGTTTGAACAGAGCCAATCATTCGGGAGCAACTACCATCAAAATTAAGATATGCCACGTTCTCATTTTCACCGTGTTCAGCCCGGCCCTGGACAATGTTTGGGCTAGGCCATCATAGCCCAATTTCCGGACTACGTCTGACTATCTCCATCTATGGCCCTAAGTTGGCCTGGTCTAGGCTGCATAGGCACTGCCTCCGCATAAGGTGTCTGTGACACCCGCCTACTTCCTCTGGCCTAGGGCCAATAATCAGCTGTAGTGTCAAAAGCCTGGGTGGCCTTCAAACCCCGTGCCCATCACAACCCAGTTAAGGTGTCTGCCCCTGTTAGGGTGGCAACTCCCATTGGTTGTGTTGAACCTCTGCTGGCTGTTAAACTCGGACCGAGGGACCTTGACAGCCGGGAGCACTGAGACGAGCATTGGCAAACGGGTAGGAACACATGTAGCATTACTTATACAAGTGTCTTGGCTAAATACCTCCATAGAGACGCCACACGTCAACTCACATCGAGCTTGCACAACACCGGAACTTGACATGTAGCCCATGCCGTCTGTGTCGGTCCTGCAGCTCGCATTGGTGACCTAGGCAAGCTATTTCCACTCAGCCTTGTCTATGGCCCTAGACTGCTTTCCTCCCTCTGACCACAGTGCTTTACGTGCAAGCGGACCGTTGACCTTCAACTCGTTTGAAACTGGTGTTCTAAGTGGGACCGTACAGTGTAATGTTACACCCTCCTTTGAATTTTCCCACGTGTGTAAAATTTCCTGAGGGGGGGGAGGGCAACTAGCGGCCTAATCCACCCGATAATGATCCCAAGTTGTGCCCCTGAAATACTTAACCCTAGCGCGAACAAAATAAATGGGAAGAGGCATATCGCCTACTGGGGTTTGGGAAAAACTTTGTTAAGGTGACTGACACAATTCGGATCATCATCTATTCCCCTTCCTCCGCACTAACGTCAAACATGAAACAGTGCTGCCTGCTCGATGGTATTCTCTCTTCCAACATCACCGTAATGAGGCCGAAGTGGCGGCAAATGTATGTCAGACTGCTTACCAATGCCAGTGCCGGCTCTTGGCACGTATATGGGTCTGAGCTCCGTTTCGTACGTTGAATTCACCGCAGCCGGTACGCCGGGAACATACGAAATGCGTTGTCTCTCTTAGACAGACGCTTCAACTTCCGAGACAAGGCGTACCTCGCTAGTTTAACAAATGCTATACAACTTCAAGTGATCTTGCGAGATCACCGGCAAACGATGTCATCAACCACTCTAAAATCAAACTTCTTACGACTCGCAACTTCATCTTCATCTCCTTGATGATGGGGGGTTTTCCGCGCAGCAGTGCGTTCTTCATGAGAAACATTTCGTGAAGCGGAAATTAGCCTCCATAAATTAAACAGTGCTGGCTGCTCAGCCGTATTTGTGCTCTCTTCCACCATCACCGTAATGAGGCCGATATGCGGGCAGACTTGACCGCGAGCTTCGGCAGCACCTTCCCAGGCTGCCTGGCTCGATGCCAGCGGTGATGTTGGACGCGTATATGGATTTGATGTCTTTTTCATACCGGAGACCGCAGAAACATATAAAATGCTACGACGTTAGGGCACAGGACTCCATCCACGTCTCCTTCCCTCCCCAGAATTCCCAAATGTTCTTCGCACAAGTTGCACTCGCCGGTGCTGTTCTTCTCTCTCTATCGTCCAGCATCGCTGGAATACCATCCGCGCCCCTGGACGCCCCAGTTGCGGTCAATCGCAGCCCACGTCCTATTGATCCCCCCGAGATCTTTTACAGTCTGAATTCTCTTGCTTTTCATCACACCAGTGGTGCTGATACATCGTAGGTGGGTCCGGCACGGCGAAGTGGCCCAATGGCTCCAGTGTTGACTTTGGTCCGGCACCCATGCTCAAAGCAACTTCCACCGCCCTGCAAGAGCGTCAGGCAGAAATTGCCTGCTACGACGTTGGCACTGAGGTCTATACGAGTGCTCTTTCCTGCTCCTGATATTGACCATAAGTTTTGGAAGATCGCCGATGAGCTGGCCAAGTCTCTCTTGACTACGTGGTGCGAGTGTGTACCTATGTTCCCATTCACTCCAACCAATGATTAATGAGCTCCCCATATATTCAGGGCGGTCCTGGGAGCCGAGGTCACTGGCTCAACTCTCTATGTACGTCACCTCAACTTTCGTTGCGTGTGTAAAATGCGGAATTCATGACTACGATTACTAGGGACGATACAATCTTGGCAACGGACAATCCCTCCTCCTCTCCATCACTGCGGATTCAGGGTGCGCAGCGCTTCCGGTCCTCCATCCTCACTCTCGCGCTCACGCTGATAAGCCGCGAAATTTGCAAAACCTCAAATTTTACGAATGCATGACATTCAGCGCTCATCCAGACGTTGGCGTGAGCTCCAAACGTGCAACCCAGAGCCATATTGCATTATCATCTTAAACTGGCAATAACAGCTTATTCCTGGAAACTTCACCCTTGGGACACTTGGGGGTTGAATCCGGATTAAGGCTTAAAGCCCATACATCAAAGTCCTGAAACACCCTCTATACGGGGGAAGGCAAAAGCAATGCTCACTATCAAAGGGAGAATCATATTATCCACCTCTGGCATTTATTGGCACGCTGGGAACCTTATTCGGGAGGGAAACACCTAGTTGTTTACACGACTTTGGCTTACCCGACACGACGCGATGGGTCACCTGATCAAGGCCTGGACCTACAATTATTACTCCTATACACCGGATCCGCGACAGCGCGATCACCCGATAAGCCGCAGGCCGGATTAAGCTTGTACTGCGTGTTTCTGGATACCGATTAAGGGCATCTGGGGTATCATTGGAAAGGTATTAAACCATACAATCCAGTCAACGATACTAGAAGTTGAGGCATCTACCACAGAGGAAGATATGAGTCAATTATCCTATTCAGGGGACTAATTACACATATAATCCCCTGATCGACGGGAGTCATTAGACAAACATATAGGAGGGCTCAAGTAGCGAATAGGAACGCCAGAACGCGCTCCACTGATACCGATTTCAGGCTAATTAATTAAGTAGAATACCCGAAGCCTAGTAATCACGCACATGTAATAGTTTTTGTACAGTATATAAGGAGGGCAGAACTAGGGAGGACGGCACTGAACCAGACCCCAGAAAGTGAGGAGCAATACAGCCCTTGCGTACGGAGTTGAAGTTTAGGCTTGAATCTTTGGCTGTCAATTAGTCTCAGAATTTAAGTTCGGTTTTGGAATAGCATCAGTGGGATTTATAAGTGTCAGTTACGGGGCGTGAGCCATACCAAGTCCGAGGCGTGAGCCATTGTGTGTGTTTTGAGGCGTGAGCCATAGTTACGGGGCGCGAGCCAAGCAAGTTTGAGGCGCGAGCCAAGTCAGTGGAATAAGGTGCGAGCCAAACAACCGGGTCTAAACAGCCCACCGGATTAATAGTCCACCAAAAACAAACCGGTCTAGAGCCGTTATATCTGCATAGTTGGGAAACTTAAATCCACGTTGGGAACCAACCAATAAATTCAGGTTGTGTCTTGAACGCCACTTCAAGAAACTAGTTGAGACTTAGCCACCCTTGGGGGAACGGGAATTGAATACTTTCGTGACAAATATGTTTACTCGTGGTTTCCTTGGACCTATACTTGTGTCCAAAAAGACCCGAATCTCGTCAGTGTATCAAGGTCATTAAGGGAGTGTGTTGGTGTTGGAGTCTGTCTATTGTCGGTTTAGTCGTGCTTAATCTCACTTTGTGAGTTAGGTGTAACTCAGTCGTTCAATAGGGGGGATTTTGGCAGTTGCATATTTAGACCGTTGAACCTGAGCAACCCTTTCAACGCATCGGGTGTTTAGCTGCGCGTTCACCGTCGGACCGCTCAACGGGTGCACCTACGACTTCCAGCAGCCCCTCAACGACTGCAACACCGCTTCAAGCGAGAAACAGGCTAGTGTCATTCCGCTCTCGTGCATCAGTCTCTTACTGACAGCTGACTTCAGGGAGGAACCTACAGTATCCCTTGTTCAGTGTGGCGCATCGACCCTGGCACTTACTTCGAGAACGGGAGCGACTTTTGAACACCAAGGACGGTTCTTGGCTTGACCATGCACGACACATTGAAGCTAGATATTTCTTTCTGACTCTGGGTAATAATAGTAAACGGGGGTATTTGGTTTGACAATATGAGAATGGATTCTTGTTCCTTGCACCACCTTAAGAAAACAAAATACCTTGACGAATGAGTAGGTATCCATTAGGGTCGTTCAAACTTCACAGTAGCCCTTTTTCTGCTCCTTTTTCCTTTCTTTTTCGTGATTTTCCTGACATACAACATATGCGAAGTCCTGCTCAAACAATTCTACTTTGGGCTCTCACATCTGAAACGGTACTAAAAGCCATGTACATACGGTAGCCTGAGTAATGGCGCTCTTCTGCGTAAAAGCTTTCAAGAAAGGTCAGACAGGTACCTCGCGCCTGCCCCGGACCCAATCATCAGCTGCCATAGCTGTGAGCTATCAAGTTCCCCGATTCGTCAAGAAACAGCCGGATGTGTCGCAAATTCCTGATCTGGCAAGGGACCGACCCACGCGCTGGTCGGAACCTCCAAGACGAAGTGGAACACCAGGGTCGCGCGGTGAATCTTCTCGAGAAGGTGCATACCGGGTCCCACACCTGTGGGCCGTCGAACGGGTGCAAATACAGATTGCGCATGTCC